TTGGATTTTGGATGGGTTCTCAACATTTTGCCCTCATTTGAAGAGTAGGTCATGCAGCTAAGAAAAACTTCTAACGAACAGTCATCCATAATTATCCAACAATCATTTATTTTAACTGTACATTCTAAGAGATGTTACAGGATATTAGAGCTCGCGTGGGTTCTTAGAGATTATCAAGATAAGAGAGTGCTCCGCTTTAAAGCTCTCACCATTGCGAAGAATACCTAGTGCTACATCCATGATCACTACAGAGACTGCTGAGGTTCAACTTGTTCATCCTAATTTCCTGTAGAAAAGCCACACTCTGGGAGTCTACCGGGACCATATACAGTGCCAGCGCGGCACCGCAATCAGGCTTGGCCTAATTGTCAGATTAGCATGGAGAGCCGAGTTCTTAAAAGGCTATGGAGATGGGTTGAGAGTACCTAATTTGTTAGGCAACCAACCCATACATTGCTCCTTCTCTACTCCACTACGGTACATGCAGTGTATGCAAGGTCTTTGAAACTAAGGAGAAATTATATGACAGAAGGCCTAAAGATTACCAAATTCGTTGTGTAGATTTATACTGCTTACCAGTAAAAGATCAGTAAAATCATGATCTCATACGTTGGCTGTGCCACTCTATTCTTACCTTGGCTGAATACCAAAAACAGTCTCGTACTCATCACTAGCCAACTACTGCATTACATTAACATTTTTGGAAAATAAGTATCGTGCATTTGACTACTTGACGATCGGAACAGCGAGAAAAAGATTCCCAAATTATTGGTCAGCGCAGCCATATCAAGCTGAAATCTCAGGACTTCTCTGTAGCTCAATTCTGAAAAATTCAATACATCATATTCTTCTCTCACTACCCATTTCAGCAATTGTTCACATCTGGGCTCGCCTTGATAGCGTTCCTCGTTTGTGGCGGTGTGGAGACCTGGTATGCTACGGGATTTGATCACATGTCCTTCTTCATCATGGTAAGTAAAAGAAAATTTCGAGAGTGACGTTAATGTAAACCTTCAGGCTGTGGGTAATGGAGTAGTGTCTGGCTGTGCTGGGTTACCTGGTTGCCAGATTCAGTTCGTTGTTAAGGGATGGGCGGTTGCTGCGGTTTGTGAATTAGTTCTGATAGGAACAAGTCGTGATTGTTTGCAAATATTTTCAGGCATTCTACTTCCTGGGTGGGCTGCTCTACTTGATCGATATGGGCTTGGTATTTGCTAAGAAAGACAAGTGGGTTTGCCTCAGAAATACTACTTTGGGCCTCTTCTTGAGCACTAATCTATCGCTTTTGCTTCAAATAACTTGGGTCGCAGTGAGATGTATAATAGCATATTTTATAGGGAGTCGGACATGAACCAACATCTGATTACATGCCTTTAGAAAGGATGGTAGAAAATAATTGTAGAAAAATTAGGTATGGTAATTCAATGATGATGCTAATTTGATGTTTATCTGTCCCCATTTTGTTGTATCCCCTCCAAATCAACCTCAATCCTTTCGCAAGTTCCAATGTGAACTTCTATGTCAAGGTCTCTTTACAGCAGAGAGCGCACGACTTTATGAAATGATAGGGTTCAATCGTTTGATGAGCAAAAATCGAACGTCAGAGGCTCTTATGGTGGACATGCACGCAAAACTTGCATTTTTGCTTGAGAAGCCCTGAACCTACTCTCCTCACTTTAAACCATACTTTCGAAGACTAAACTTCTTGCTCATATCTGGGACGAAAACCTATTGGGGAACCTCAAAAATTGATATAAAATTTTCCAAATTTTTTGAAATGAAGTTAAAAAATAAGAATATCAGCGATGGGTGGAATCACTCGAAAGTCACGTTACTATAGTCACCTCTGTGAGCATACTTTGCTAGTGCTCAATAGAACGATAATTGAATTGCCCGC